GGGGGGGGGCGGGGTTGACAGCACAACCTGTGCCTTCCTCACCCTTCTCAGGTTCATGGAGTTCGAGTCGGAGGAGGAGGCGCAGATCCGGAAGTTACAGCTGAAGAATGGGTCTGCATGCGCGCCCCCTTCAGATGCACAGAAACTGGATTCCCAAAGGCCTTCAGCCACTGTGGTCGACCAACCCCCAAGTATGGGGACCCAAGCTGCAAGAGCAGGTAATGCTGGTGGCCAGAGGAGGCATGTAGCCAGTGGCCATGTTTACAAATAACCATTGTCTTCACAGTGGTCCTTTTCACCAAAGAGAGGGCACTAGCTTGTCCACTCTATGCAGACTGCCAGGTGCATGGGATCCCAGATAGCCATGTTCGTACACTAGGAAACGAGCGTGCCAAATTTCATAACTTTCCTCATATGCGGATAATCAAAGCAGGCACACAATAGCTAATCCACACACACACACAAAAAGTGAGTCGAAATGAGTGTGTTCTTGGAAAAACAGTAGTGCCCAGCATGCTCACACAATGACTCTCCTTTCCAGCTTCTTCCTGTCACATCTTCTCCTCCCACAGTTCCGGGGGCTTCACGTTATCCCTACTCAATGGGAATCATTTCACGATATCCAAAACCCTTCCCTTAAAACTTGTAACCACATGCTGGGTGAGCAAGGCTGTGGTGGGCTGGAGCATTCAGCCTCTGCTTTCCAACTCTCTTCTAGTGCTCATTCTGAAGGAGAGAGGTGGGAGGGCACCGTCTCCCGACCTGAGGCAGCAGAGACCTAAGTGCACTTGGGAGCCAAAGACACCCAAGACGATCCCTCCTGAAGCCGTGAAAGAGTATGTGGATAACATGATAAGTCTGCTGAGGCCAGCTCAGTCCTCCACTGGGGAGGCTGACAACCAATGGGAAGGGGAAGAAAATGAGCACCCCCAGGAAGAGGATGATATATCCCCGGACCCGGGGCTCATGAGCTACATTAACATGCTATGCTCACAGGAAGCCTTCGTCACCAAGGTGAGTTTGGCTTGGACTTCCGTGTCACTATATTCTGAACTGTTGGCATCCACAGAACTTCACATCTGTGGCTGAGCTTCAGAGCTTGCAGTAATACACAAATACATACGTGTCCCTAGCAGATATTTTCCTTATACTGTTGGCTAAGCATTTGAGGACAAAGCACAATGTGAGTAGTTTTATGCCCACCAGCAGCCTCACTTAAAAAAATAAGAAAATGTGTGCTCCCTTAAATATTTACAGTGTCAAACCCATGAGTCTGTGAAAACCCATGCTTCTGACTCTACTTGACTGCAGTGGTTTGGCTTGGATGATGTCCGCACCCCATGCTTAGTTTGTGTCTGTTTATTTTCATGAGGAGGTATAGTTTGGAGTGACTTTTAAAACCATTACCCTCAAATCAAACAACTTCTGTTGAGTGTCTGTGACTCATTGTGAGGGTGGAATATAATAGAATTACCCAAAAGCGATAAATATAAATGAAGAAATATAGCCATAACTTTCTCCTCCAAAGCAGTTGGTGGGCTTGCTATGATGACCTATTGGTTAACAGAAGAGCGCTTTCCCCACTGCACTACCAGATTTCACTTTAACAAAACACTGAGAGAGAAATCAACTGAGGGATTATTGCCTCTTCTAGACCCTAGAGATCACTGGTTCAGTCCCTGTCTAGTATGTTCACAGCGCAGCATCTTCTGTTATCAGGTGGAAGCAGTCATTCATCCTCAATTCCTGGGAATGTTACTGTCTCTGGACCCACTGGCCGATCCTTTAGACTTAATTGAGAAGCTTGAGCAAGAGGAAGGACTCACTCTCACCCAGGTAAGCCAGAAAAGGAAGGGAGGTCAACACATGCAACATTCATTATTTCATTTAACATTACAACACCTTGGTCAGCTTGGCTTCTAGAGGCGGGTTGAGGGTGAGAGCAGGTACAGACGTAGGAGACTACTGCGGTGCTGGGAGGAGGGATGGGAAGGAATAGATAATAGAGATGTTGAACAGACAGAGCTGAAGTATTAGAAGCTCACATATCTGTCATGTGATTGATTTCCTTAACCATGCCCCCATAGTATGGTCTCCACCAACTGCATTAGGACGTGTATCAACAGCATGTGCAGAGAGAGTAACTGTCCAGTTTCCTTCCTTGCAGCTGACAGAGAAGCGACTGCTGGAGTTGAAAGAGACAAAGAGTGGGGATGCACCCCAAAGTCATGATATGCCCCAAGGGGAGGCCATTTTTCCATACTCTGAGTCTAGTCAAGGTTCAGGAAGTGGAGATCACCAAGACCTTCAAGTAGGGCTCCTCAATGACACAGGCGTCGATAGGTTGAATGCAGATGTTCTGACCAGAGAGGATGGTGGCAACATTAACCTGTCCAAGACAAAAGAACGTGCTGTCTCTACTTGGCGTCAAAAGTCAGAGAAACTACAGTCTGAACAGTCCATCTCTTCTCACCGGGATCACAGCCACGCTTCCACTCCATCAGCAACCAGGGGTGCCTTGAGAGTCTGGAAAACACCGCCTGTGATGAAACCACCTGCGATAGGAGAATGGTCTAGTGATGAAGCAGAAGAGGAGGAGGAGGAGGAGGAAGAGGAGGAGGCACTCCCCAGTCTAGCATTCCTCTTGGGATCTCAACAAAGACTACTGCCCTGGGGACATTCCAAGAGTGCTGGCTCGCCATCCGCCATTCTCCACAATGGCGTTCAGGGCTCCAGGAAAGCCTTCCAGCCCCTGTCTCCTGAGAAAGGGTGTCCCAGTCACTCTCAACAGATAGCTGCCAAGTCTAAGATGCCAGCTCCAGTTAGGGCGCCATCTTCTGATGATAAGAGGCCCCCGTCAGCGGCTGACCTCAGAGGGTCTTGCAGGCAACCCTTGGTTGTGACTGAAGCGAAACCCTCACTCCCTCGAAAAAGAAAGCTTGAACCTTCTGCTAGTGAGAAAAGAAAAAAGGCTTATTTTAGCCAATATCAGGGATCTCTCCTCCTCGTCTCAGACTCGAAAGTTGGAAAATCCTAATCCTGCCTGCCCAGCCCCCCAGATAGTCACTAGGTTAGTGCTCAGGACTTCTTCCATTGGTGTTTCTTGAGCCTTGTTTGAATGGGCTGAGCACAGAGAGAGCGCGGTCAAAGACAGCTCACTGCATAGATGGACACTCATGTTATAAATGATTAACAGTAGATACACAAGAATCCTAGGTAATACGCAATTAAAGACAGTTATTCTTTTGGAAGAATTTCTCATTGCTTCTTGTTTTTTTCTTCTGGTCCTCCTCTACCTGTGGATGGAATATGGTGATATATATATATATATATATATATATATATATATATAGTGCTTATTTTTGTTTCTCTGAATAATGCTAGAGAATAATGTCAAGCAATCCTCAGCACACCCATGGCTCTTCCTGTGTGGTTGGTTTAACCAGACAGAGACACATTTTGATTTCCTGGGAACACAGCTATCCTTTCCTTGCTGTGCCTTTAGGAAATGGCATCATTAACTTTCAGGAGCACAATTAAATACAAAATGGTATTTTCATACTTTTAAATCATGGTGGGGAGGGTATATGAGGGAATGTGCTGATTTAATAGAACATACATCAACCGAAAACTATTGGGGAAAAATCACTAGAAATTTCACTGGTGCTAACATGCCACAAACAGAACCATTAAATAAACAATGACACTTAAGACATAAATTAGAAATATGTTTAAAATCTGAGAGAGAATGTATGGAAATTAGCAGTCAATTAATTAAATTTCACTAGTGTACAAAGAAAGACATTTAGATACTTAATATGTGCTCTCTGCCATTCCAGGTATCTTACTTCCCCTGATTAAATCACACAGTCTTCTTGATCATCAATCAGTGAGGGTGGGTTTACAGTTGATTGGCTTCACAGTACACGGTTTGACTTCTTGTAAACATGGCTTTCTATCTCACAATAGAAGCTGGCATCCAAATGTCTCACTGGGAGTACATTTTATGGGATCTGTGAGTCTGTAACTTCTTAATTCCAAGGAGCACAGAGTAAAAGAGAATTGGCTAAACTGGTATTAAAAGGAGGTTTGGCAACAAAGCAAGAGGAATATGGCTGGCAGACAACAAGCATGTGACGAATTTCTCAGGTCCTGTATTTACTCAGTCAATGCAGTCGTAAATCCCACACACCGTGGAGGAGCTCCAGAAAGCAACTGAAAAGTTAGTGCGACACCTGCTGTTAATGATTCCACTTAACTATTGACCAATGGCCCTCGCTAATTCTGTGCACTACCCCACGCCTGCCCAAGCCTATACCTCCCTGTTCCTGTGTCAAATCACCCAGCCAAACGTCTTGCTTTTCAGGCCTATGGTTGCCCTGAGTAGAGAGAAGATAGAATATGCAGTTAGGGGCAGATATCCTCACGAACCAGTCAACATACATTTTATATCTATATATAGTCATACTTATCTGGTGCCCATTGGACCATAAGCACCCCCTCTACCACACAGTTGCCAAATGAGTAAAAATCCTCATAAAACAGCAGATTTCTTTACTATTCCGTTTTTTTAATTCTTGGGTTTATGTTGGTTTCTAATTATTTTTTGAGATTTTATTCTATTTTCTACTTTGAATCTCACTTCCTTTTTCTGTTTAGCCCCCAACCTCAGGATATATGCAGCTCACAGGGAGAAAATGGAAAAACCACACCCACCCAAACAAGGGTTTATTTTCTTGCTTATAAGACAGGCTTTTCTCTGTGTCCTGAGGTCATTGCCCAGCCGATGTTCATTGCATCAGAACTCCATATTCACAACCAAGCCTTGTTGCTATAGATTTCTTCATGCTCCTATTCCCTGGACAGAACCTCCCCCACCCTTGTTTTTATCTTTCTCCTTTTGTCTTCCTTATTTTCTCCCTTTTTCCTTCTCTCTCTCTCTCTCTCTCCTCTTTTCTTCTTTAATTGTATATATATATCCACCACTCCTGTGCTCTGATTGTTTGCTTACACGTTTCTCTTACCCCACCCACTATCCCTTTCTGCTCTGTTTCTCTTCTTTTCTTAGTGATACACACTTCCATCTTACCTATGATGTCTTATTACTCCTCTTAAAACATATTTCCCCTTATTTTAGGAACCTTTTATTCTATCCAGATAGATCTTATTTTTACTAGTATTAGTTATTTATTCTCTCTGATCTTCCCCTTTCCTTTTTCACGACTGCTTCTTTATCTCTTCTCTCTCTCCATTTCCCCACTCTATATGTTTCTGACTCCTATTACAAGTATCTCCATGACGCAAGAGGGCTGACTACTTCTACATGGTCCAGAAAGCCACACACCAAAAATAGCTGCACCATGCTGCTGTGGAAACAGCAGTCACCACACATTGGACCCATGAAAAATCAAGAAAAACATTCAAACAACTAAAAATCACCTCAACCCAATGAAGTACGCTGAAAAAGAAGATTAGGAACTACCAGAAATAGGATTCAACTGAATGAGCTTTTAGGTACTTTGAAATGATATAGGGATGCTCATCAGCAAAACTGTAAAATGGAAAACGAAGAAAATAATCTTCAAAAGATCAACATAAACCAGCAATAAGATCACAGAATTAGACAACATGTTCAAAGATAGAATGTGAGAAAAGGATAATAGAATCCGTGATATCAAAGATAATTTCTCAAACATAATCAATGAAAGAATCAAACATAAAATGCAAATAAATCTAAAGAAAGCCTGGGAATGATGTGAGACTATCAAGAGAAACAAATTACCTCCCCCGGGGATCTAGGAAAAAGAAAACTCAACAGAATCTACAGTTAAAATAGTATGAGCAATCATGGGACAACATTCCTCCAACATCACAAAGGAGGAGAAAATAACTATTTAGGAAACTACGGGAATTCAAAATAGGATAGATCTCTCAAGTAAGACACAGTGACATATTGTGGTCAAACTCTCCAATCTCAATGAGAAGAAGAGGATCTTGAGTGAAAATGGGAAGAATAGCTGCCCACAAAGGGAAACCAGCCAGAATAAGCTGGACATCTCAGCAGTAAGAAAGCAGTCAAGAAGACAATGTGTGTCATATTCAAAATCCTGAATCTGCCAAACCCAGATCCGATACTCAGCAAAATGAACCCCTGAAGATGAGAAACTAAGGTATTTTCAGAGAAGGAAAAATTAAACACATTCTTGAAAACCAGACCATCCTTTAAAACATACTAACTGGCTTAGTATGGACAACAAAATCAGCAGAGTAATATCTGAGAACAATAGATAGGACATCATTACCCAGAAACCAATGTATGAAAATTGCATAACAGACAACACAAAATCAATGGAGGAACAAAGGAAAAAACCCAAACACAGCCAAATGGCAGAAATAAACCTGCAAATCACAATAATGAAACTGATCTGTCAACAGATTAAATATACCAATCAAGAGAAATAGTAGCAAACTGGAGTAGAAACCAAGACCCATCTATATGCTGCCTACCTTAAACTCAAAGACAAAAAAACTAATAATGAAAGGATAGAGAAAATATCCCATGACAATGGCAACCATAAACAGGCAGAAGTGGCAATATTAACGTCTGATAAAATACACTTCAAGGCATAAAACATGAGAGACAAAAATGAACAGTACATAATGACTAAAGCAATAATATATCAAGAAAACAGAACCATAGACAACATATACACTCACCAAAGAAAGACCCTTGAAATGCATCAATTAAATCCTCACTGAGTTGAAGAGTCAGTTCAACAAAAAGAGTTCAACAAAAAATTTGAATATACTACTCCAACGAAAGATCATCAGGAAAGAAAAGCAATAAAGAAGCTGAAGAGTTGAACAACACAATCAAATACTTTCTAGACAGATACAGAGCAATTTACCCACGAGCGATAGTACACATTCCTATCCAGTGCACACAATACAGTCTACAGAATAGATGACTTATGAGGATACAAAGCAAACGATAACACCTTCATAAATATAACAATCTTATAATCCAGTTTCTCAGCTCACAATGGTGTAAAAGTGAAAGCCAATCATAGAAAGAAGAACAGAGGAAAGTCAGATATGGAGAGTGAACTGCACACTAAGTAAAAATGTCTGGGCAATAGACCCAAAAGTAGGGAAATTAAGAAATTCTTCTAAACAAACAAGAACCATAGGTAAAAATACCAAAATCTTTGGGACACAATGAACCCGTCATCAAAAATGAGGAAAACTACATAATCAACACCTTTATCCAAACCCTTTAAATACTAGAACCAGGGCAACAACATAAACCCCCAACAATGGAAGAAAAGAAATCAGAATAATTAGAACTGAAATAAAAAAAAATAGAAATCAGAATGAAAAGAAATATCCCAAAATCAGCAGTACAAGAAGTTGGTTCTTTGAAAGGATGACCAAAATCCACAAGCTGCTGGCAAAATTAACATAGAAGAGTTTAAAACATCATTTAAAACATACTACCTGGGCTAGTATAGAAAAGTGAAGATGCAAGTATCTAGAATTAGGTTTATATCATTTGTGAACTTAGAGACAACATTTCTCAACAAAGTTCTGGCTAACAGAATACATCAACATATCAAAAAATATTTCACCATGCCCAAGTGGCATACATACTAGAGATGCATGATCGTTCAAAATATTCTAGGTCATCTACTACCTAAGCATGACACAGGCAAAAAGATGAAAACAAAACAGAACCACAGGAGTCATAGCATCATCTTAATAGTCTAGGTAAAGGCATTTGACAACATCCACTCTTGATAAAAAAAAAAAAACACTCAACAAAATTGGAATAGAAAGGAAATACCTCAATGTAGTAAAATCCATGTACCAGAAAAACCAACAATGTCATGCTCAAGAAGGTAAAGCAGAAAATATTTCCCATGAAGACAAGAACTAGACGAGGAGGCCCCTTATCATCACTCTTATTCAACATCGCTCTGGAAGGCTCAGCCACGACTTTCCTTTAAATAACCAAGACCCAAAAGGAAACATATCAAG